AGACTTTTTGGTTCAATATGACCATGGGGATGCTGTTGTTGAGTATAATGTTATGGTCCTGCACTACTCACATTAATTGAATTATTTGAAGCTTTGTTTGTTGGTGCTTATTCATAATATTTCCTATAGTTTCTTTATTTTGTATTGAGAATAAAGACTGTTTTGATTGCACGTATGATACGCTCAAATTACACCTCCCTAAAGAAGCATAAACAATCGTTATCAAGTCAAGAACCCAACTTGTAGTTGGCATGCAGTTGCGGGTCTAGTGGACCGTGCACCCTCACTACATTTCCCAATTGATTTTCAGCTAGACCCCGGTTTTCCCCACTAGCTACTCTCGGCTATTGTAACTCAACTGTATCATCAAGATTTACTCCGATAGGATTAACTGGAATTCCTTGATTGTTCATTCTTCGCAAAGTTTTGTTCAACTCTGGATCGTAAGGAGTAAGTGGTTCATCTTGGCTCCGTGTCCTTGGCATATACTAGAGCCAGAACCTGAGAGAGACAAGAACAAAAAGAAAAAGTAAAATTAGGAAATATTTGACTAAAGTTCAATAATGTAGTGAAAATTAATCTAAAAGCCAAATTTTCCCGGCAGCGGCGCCAAAATTTGATACGCTCAAATTATACCTCCCTAAAGAAGCATAAGAAATCGTTATCAAGTAAATAACCCAACTTGTAGGTTGGGGTCAATCCCACGAGGAAACTGGTTTAGACTTAACTTTAGCTTACACCTATATTCATTTAGTCAAAATACTTCCGGAAACAAGTAATAAAAAGGGGAGGATTTGTGAAACAAATAGTAAGAATTCAGTAAGTAATCAGTAAACAAAAGTCATTTTTTGTTGTTATCAAGATGAGAAAATTAACTAGGGTATACGTGTTCACCACAAACTCATAACTCAGTAATCCTAGTAATAGCAATCATGTCCTAGTGTATTACATGCAAAGTGATAAGTTAGGTATCTCTAAATCCTTGGTCCGGCATCTAGAGAATTTCACCCTGCACCTTGGTCCAGCTACGTGTGTATAATTTACTAACCCTTACATTTACCTCATATTAGACATCATAATCGATGTTTGGCTTAGTTATTACTTCGCACCAATCGACACTAGCCTATTAGATAGTATCACACTAAATCTATGTTGATAATTCTTTTCTTGTTGCTTACCTCCTTGGTCCGACAAGTAGCAACAAGGCAAGTTCTAACGCGTGCACTCGTTAAAAAGACTTTTGAACGGAAGAATTATCAATGCATGAAAAAGACTATTCAGGAATTGCTTATTTACTATTCCTACTTTGTTAATCTCTCATGGATCCCACAACCCTAGTTGTGGAGTTTAGTTACCTATGATCATATGAACACAATTCATTGTTTTAGATGAAAGAATTATGAACTTACGTAGTTGAGAAAAATAAGCCCAGAAATTCAACTCAAATTTCAAATAAAATCTTCAAAACGAACCTTTGGAAATTAAGAATTGCTCGGGTAGCAAAATTAGTTCCCAAGTCACAAAGTAAAACAAAAGTAATAAAGTCTAACCCCCAAAAACGAGGTTTACATGCCATATTTATAGAAAACAAAAAACCTAAATAAAAATGAAAACAAATTAAGGAAAGTTTGTTCAGCTACGCGTCTTCATTCCACGAGACTGACTCACGGACCGTCAATGGATCTACGGTCCGTGAGTCCCTTCCGTCAGCCAGGACTTGGAAAATATTTCAGCTTCCAAAAATCAGCTACTCTGAAGCAAACGACGGACTAACAGTAGATCAACAGTACGGTCCGTAGATCAATCTACGGACCGTCAATGGCCACCGTGGTTCCACACTCTGTCAGATTTCCCTGATTTGCCTTCCATGCCTTGCCTGCTGATCTACGGCCATCACCTACGGAGCGTAACTGGACCTACGGTCCGTAGATCACCTCCGTAGGTGCCCTTTCTGCAGTTATTTCAGCTGTCCCTTTACTTTCGCGCCTAAACGTCTTTCCTGCAAAACATGATAAAAACACATAAAAACCAATCCAAAAAGGCCCTAGACACACACAACTGGTAAGTGAAATGTATTAGAAATACCGTAAACTTACGGTATATCAACGTACAAATTGCAAACTTTCTTGGATCAGATATGTTTACGTGGTATTGAATAATTTAAGAGTTAATATCTTAAAAGAACTATCAGAAATTATCTAACAAAGTTACTGAACTTTGTTTTTGTTTGAAAAAAAATAATCTTGATATCTCAAAAAAAAAAAAAAAGGGGAGTCTAAATTCATGCTTTCAACATCTCTCAAATGTATTTTATTATTCAAATTGATTAGAGCCATAAGTATTCATTATATGGTTCTTTATTATATTATATACCGTTGACATAGCATTCTTTCGTTAAGGCTGTGGAATAATCCATTATTTTGGCTTAATGTCCTTTTGCCATATCTTGTATATTGATGATATTATTTGATGATATTGAATAGCACATTAACTTCTCAATTACTAAATAATCATTATGGCTACAAAAGGAACGTTGGTTGGCTGATGTTGAAGCCATCAATTTGCTATTGATCTTTCCCTTAATTATATAATCTCAACTCCTTTTGTTTTGGGAGGTGGATATGGACTCAAGTTCATTCTTCATATTCTATTGGTGCACTGGACTCCTAGTTTTATAGGAGTACTAGAAAAGTTTGTTGAGTTTTTGGAAATGCATTTACATTGGGTGAAATATCTTTAATGATATTGTCTACTTTTGACACGCCTCAAGCTATGAGAATTCCCTACAAGTGTTCATGATAAAGTATTTTCTGTAAAATCCAACAGTTTTGTAACAATAAAATTCCTCCTCGATCTAGCTACTCACACACTCCATATAAAAAGAAGCTTCCTCATGCAAAGCAAAAGGTATCTAAATTTCATTTTTCTATTTTCACGACATAACTAAAAAGTTTAATGATAGCACGTTGAGTGTAATTGGCCGGAATTCAGCATTTCACCAGTATTGTGAGATGCCAATTGTTGGTAATTTTGGAGTTTTCTGATTGGCTCAGGGAATCGCCACCGCGAAGACTTATTGGTTCAATTTGACCAGTGGGGATGCTGTTGTTGAGTATAATGTCATGGTCCTGTGTTGTGAACCGAGTTGTATATCTAAGGGCCTATGGACTAGAATTGGTGGAGACTATTTTAGTTGGGATTATTGGGCCGAGTAAAATGTTGGAGTTTTTATTTGGGATCCCGGCCCAATTAGTATTTGATTAAAAGGGCAAATGAGTTAGAAAGAAGGGTTTATGCATATTGAAGAAACACATTTGTTCCTCTCTTCTTCTTCTAGAATCTAAGCTTCTCATCCCAATTCTTATATCTACCTTAGTTACTGTTATTTCAGCATTTCCATTGTAATTCAGTTGTTTGATTATTGTAATTACGATTCTAAAGGTTTAATCACATTCCAAGTTTGTTATTAATATAGTGAGGAATTTGGGTTTGTTACATCCTGCATTACTCACATTAATTTAATTTGAAGCTTTGCTTGTTGGTGTCATTTGTAATATTTACAATAGTTTCTTTATTTTGTCTCAAGGATAAAAACGTGTTTTGATTGCACGTACGAATTGCAAATTTTCTTGGATCGGACATGTTTACGTTATTGAATAATTAAAATAGTTGTATAGCCTGTGAACTTTTTTTGGTTTACAATTAATTTAAAACCTACAATAAGCTATGTATGGGCAGTAATTATGAAAACAAAAGGCCGATAAAACAAAAAAATATCATAATGATCTGAAAGTGAAAGCTGGCATTAAAAGCATGGAGGCAACTAACTAAATGATTTTTAAGCGATCAGTGAACAAATAAGCGAAATAAATAGACACATTAATAAAAAGTGCTAGTCTTTACCGGCAATAGTTAAGTGTCATTAGATTTAATGTCTTCTACTCTCTGCTCTCAGTATGAAGACACTAGTGATGGCAGATGTTAGAGTCTTGCCCATGAATCGGAAGCTAGGAAAGTAATAAGTACTCGTTTCAAGTTCACGTGAACCCAATAGCTTTTGTGTTATGAATAAGCTCCAGCCCAATGTCACACAATCAGCTATTTATCGGGCAGAGAAGAAGCAATAGAAATGGAATGCAGCTCACAAAGGTTGATTTGGGACCCAAGTCCAATTAACAACAGGTTAAAAGGGACTACCACTTAGAAAAATATTTATCTTTTGATTAAACACCTAAATTATATTGGGTGCTTTACTAATTGGTTATTGTTGAATATGATATTCTGACACGTGAAGAAGATTCTAAAATTATTTCTATATTACAAATATTGAGGATAAATCTAGTTGAAATCAGTAACATATCCAGTGTAGTCTACACGGTGGAATCTAAAGAGGGTATAGTGTACAAAAGCTTTAGTTAGAAATATACTAATATTATTATCCATAAAAACAATATTAACAACTGAGAAAGGGTAAAAAACAGAGGAAGGAAAGCACAGAAAAGGGGCTGTTTAGGCCATGAAATTTTTTCACTTTTGTTTGAATTCAACTCCGGAAAATACGTTTGACCATAAAACTCAATCTAGAATTTAACTTCAAGTTGAATTTCGAAATTTCCGAGAATTTGAAAAATAGCAAAAAGTTGTTTTCACTTCAATAGTAGAGAACAGGGGCTTCAACATGTCTCAATCAATTGGAGAGAAATTCCAAAAGCAAACATATACTTTTACTTTTATTCTACATTTCTTTGACTGCCCTATGGAATCAGATTTTTTGAAATGTTATCTAATCAAACACTACCACTTTAATAATGCTGTCATTTTGACCCCACTACTTTTTTAGTTTTCATTGTCATAAAACAAATTCTCCATCATTGCTCTGTTTGTTAAGCTTTCATTTAATAGAAAACTAGCAACTGAACTGGTAATAAAGGAGGTTTCCTAATACATAACGTGATTCCACTTTAATAAATTGCAGAGAAAATTCCAAAAGCAAATATTACACTTTTCCTTTATTTCTACTTTTCTGTGTCTACCATTTTGAAATGTTATTTAATAAACACTCCCACTTTAATAATGCTCTCATTTTGATCCCACTACTATTATTCCTGCTTGCATTCTCATATATCAAAAAACGAGTACTTACTATTCCACCAAAAATTCCCGTGATAGCACCTCCTCTTCAGTTATCAACTTTCAACTTCCTCACTCTCAACTTATTTTCATTCTACCTTTAATTTGCTTCCTTGTAACTAAGAAATCTAGTGAAGAATTAATTAATTAATCATATATGGAATTCTTATCTATTTTTGTGGAAAAGGTAACGGACTGCTTGATGCAGCCAGTTGGGCGAGGGATTGGGTATTTAGTTTACTACAAGAGCAACATCAGATGTATGGATAAAGAATGTGAGAAGCTGAAGAATATCAAAAGTGAGGTGCAGGAAAGAGCGGATGTTGCCCGGAGAAACTTACAACGCATTTCACACAATGGTGAAGCTTGGTTAACTAGTGTTGATACCACTACTCAACGTGTGGAATTTGTAAGGCAAGGTAGAGCTGAGGTTGAAAGGGGTTGCTTTTATGGTTGGTGTCCAAACTTGAAGTCACATTACTCCGTGAGCAGGAGAGCTAAGAAAATTGCACTGGAGTTGATTCAACTTCAAACTGAAGGCACCAATCCAAATGCTTTCTCCTTTGATCGTCCAGTTCAAAGTGAGGCTATACCTAGTAACTATGGTGAGGTGTTTGACTCTAGAAAATTGCAAGAGGATGAGGTCATGGCAGCTTTGAAAGATGACGGGGTCACTATGATTGGGATATGTGGTATGGGTGGTGTTGGTAAAACAACACTGGCTGAAAAAATCAGACTAAAGGCGAAACAAGAAAGGATGTTCAATGATGTTGTCATGGTAATTGTCAGTCAACAACAAGACCCTAAAAGAATTCAGGGTGAGATCGCAAGAGGAGTCGGACTGACATTAGAAGGGGATGATATGTTGAGTCGTGGAGATCGGCTGTGTACAAGGTTAATGGATCAGAACAGCCCCATCCTTATAATCATGGATGATGTTTGGAAGGCTCTTGATATAAAGAGACTTGGAATTCCAAGTGGAAGCAACCACAAACATCAATGCAAAGTGATATTCACAACGCGTTTCCATTCTGTTTGTGAAGCAATGGGAGCTCAGAAGATCATGGAAGTTGGAATGTTATCTGAAGAGGAAGCTTGGATCCTTTTCAAGCAGAAAGTCGGTAATTTTGTCGACAATCCTTCTCTTCTTGGCATTGCAAAAAAGGTTGCCAAAGAATGCAAGGGGCTGCCACTTGCAATTATTACAGTTGCAGGAGCACTAAAAAAGCTTAAAACCAAGCCTTCGTGGGACTGTGCCCTTGAACAATTACGAAGTGCAGAAACAAGAATAATTCCTGAAGTGCCCAAAGAGTTGTATAAACCTCTAAGGCTAAGCTATGATTTCTTGGAAAGTAATGAAGCCAAGAACCTCTTTTTGCTTTGTTCCTTGTTCGAGGAAGATAGTGATATCTGTCCTGAAGAATTACTAAGATACGGAAGGGGGCTTCGCATCTTTTCAGAAATCGGAAAGTTAGAACATGCAAGAAATACGGTCTGTCTTGTGTTAGAAACATTGAAAGATTGTTTCTTGTTATCCCAAGGTTCAGACAAAAACTATGTCAAAATGCATGATGTGGTCCGTGATGTGGCTATAAGTATCGCGTCTGAGGGAGAGCATAATTTTATGGTAAGTCACCAATTTAACTCAAACGAGTTCCCAAGAAGAACTTCTTATGAGCATTTCACTCACATGTCAATAGTTGCAAATAACTTTGATGAGCATCCTAGACCAATATTTTGCCCAAAACTGATGCTTTTAATGTTGAAACTCTGGTTTGAAGATTCATTCAAATTAGAGGACGATTTTTTTGATGGAATGGATAAACTCAATGTCTTCAGCCTGTGTGGATATAGGCAGCACTGCATTCAGCCTTTGCCAGAACCCATTCAGAGGTTGTCAAGTTTGAGGACGTTGTGTCTGAGTAATCTAAGGTTGCATGATATATCCATTATTGGGGAACTTGTCACTTTAGAAATTCTCAGCATAAGAAATTCTCAGTTGAGGAAGGTGCCAGTGGAGATTGGAAAATTAACCAATCTAATTATGTTGGAGTTGCGGAATGAGGGTATAGCAATTGAAAGTATTTCAGCAGGTGTCTTATCAAGGCTAGTTCAATTGGAGGAACTACATATATTTGTAGTAGAATGTTGTAGTTACTCCACCTTGAGTGAACTAGAATCCTTATCGAGATTGACCGCACTGACATTAAGTAAATGTGCCGAAGATGTCATCTACAGTAACTTGGGCCTTTCCTCCAAGTTGACACGGTACAATCTTACAGCGGGTGTCAGGTGGACTACTTCAATCATGGATGAATACGATTACGATAGGAATATTACTTTAGAGGTCACGAAGACCAGCCCATTGGGTAATTGGATCTGCCACCTGTTGAAGGAGAGTGAATTTATACATTCAACTGGAAAGGGCTCTAATAATGTGTTGACTGAGTTGCAACTGAATAAACTTCAGAATGTGAAATGTCTCCACCTCGCTAGATGTGATTTAGTGACACATTTATTGAAGATCTCTGAGAGGACACATGAAATAATTGAGTTCCCCAATTTATATAAGTTGGAGCTTCAATATTTGGAATGCCTGACTCACTTTTGCAGTGACACTGTTGAGGCCATTGAGTTCCCTCAGTTACGGAAAATGATCTTTGATGGGTTACCTAATTTCCAAAATTTCTGGCCTACAACTAACAACTCCATCACTAACTCAAATCCTCTTTTTCATGAAAAGGTTTGCTTCTTATCATGAAACCAGCTTACTTTTTCAGTTGTTATTCAGAGGGCTAATTTAAGTTTTTAAATATTTCTCTTATAGATCTATTTGCTTATCATTATTTGAATTTCTTTATCTTATTTCATTTTTGTAGTGTGAAAATAAATAGATATTGAAAAAGAAGAAAAAAGTAAGAACAAATTTAAGACTTTTTTTTTAATGACCCCCTCAAGTTATGGGTTGAGCTCAAATGAGCTATAAATTGAGTTGAGTTATGAACCATCCAATTTGACCCGTTTAATTTCAATAACTGTAAGTTTTTAACTTATTGCTATTTAAATTATATAACCTCAATTTAAAATGGGATAAAGCTTGAATGAATTGAGTTTGAACCCAATTCAAATTATCTTGAGTCCAATCCATAAAATTATGGATGGATTATGCGGGTTACCTAGCTCAAAGTTTGATACTTGAACGTTTGCAGGTTTCTTGTCTTAACCTCAAAGAGCTAGACATCGATAGTTCTAACATAAGTGCTCTATGCTCTCACCAACTTCCAACTGCCTACTTCAGCAAACTTGAAAGATTGGAAGTAAAGAATTGTAGAAAATTGAGAAACTTGATGTCTCCATCAGTGACCAGAGGTGCTCGGAATTTACGAATACTATTGATAGAAAATTGTGTGTCAATGGAAGAAGTGATCACAGAAGAGGAACAACAAGGAGAAGAAATCATGACTAATGAGCCCTTATTTCCCCTGTTGGAAGAGCTGCAGCTTGAAGGACTGCCTAAGCTGGGGCATTTCTTTCTGACAAAGCATGCTCTTGAATTTCCATTTCTCAGAAAAGTGACGATTGGTGACTGCCCTGAAATGAAGACGTTTGTCCAACAGGGAGTATCTGTGAGTACACCGAGTCTTGAATGGGTGAACTATGATGACAGGGTGGAAGTAGATGATCTGAATGAATGGATGCAACAGAGGTTCAATTCTAAGGTTTGTCTTGCGCCACTAATTGTATAACTAATTAACTCTAGTGCTCTCTTTCTGTCTTAACTTAATAGTAATAGTAATATTCAGATACTTATTTATGTTTGTCAATTGAACCAACTTCCTTGTACAGTATTTTCAATTGGAATCTGAAGCATCACTATTCTCTGCTCCCAGGAACAAAATACTAGTGAAGGCACTACCGACAGCAACGATTCTGAAGCTACTGTTGGCGACAAAATACTAGTGAAGCTACTGATGTCTATGAATCCAAAGATAGCTAGGAATAGTCCATGTTAGTTCAAACATGACCTAATACTTATACTGTTGTTTGTTGATTTTTGAAAGAAGGGGCGGATCTTGAAGAAGCAGCATGAGCCTAAAGTAGTAGCCTATTATGTTTTGTCAGGCCCCTTTGATATCTTATTAATCAAGCCCTAGCACCCCTGTAGGTAAGATCCTCATGATGGACGTAACAAGCAGAGGCATATCGATATTATAATACATGGATTCACGTGAACCCAACTGTTTTTGCCAAGAGACTTTGTATTTGTATCAGTAATTTCCTTAATTACATATTCGGATTGATTTTGATTCAACAACAATTTTATAACATGGTATTAAAGTAGAAGAGAAGTCCTAGTTCTGATACTCTTCTTTATGAGTAATTACTTCTTACTTGTGTCTGTAGAAATTCTTTAATAATTTCAAATTTTTTCTGCAAGTTTGGACAAACGCAGAAAGAAGCAATTCATAAATTATTGTCTTGGACCAAAGTTATTTGGAGAAAAAAAATAACGAAAAGACTGTTTTGAGATGTGAACTTTAGACTAAAAGTGAAGTCTTCGTTTAAAATTCCTCTTTAATTTGTGTAATCATTAGTTGCCTACAATTATTATTTGACTGATCAAATTAAAGTAACTTGTAACAAAATCTAACTATATCGTGTACTAATTGTCAGTAAAATACAGAGATAATGTAAGACTTGTTTTCATCGCCAGTGTATACTAGTTAAATTCTTATTTGAAGTGTCACTCAGACGTGAGATTCTATCATTTCCTTCAATTTGTGAGTTCTCTTATACTAGAATTTGTTGGCTTTTGTGTGTGAATAATTTGCACAAGATGCATAAACACAAGTGCCAATAGTAGAAACTAAACCACCACAAAACAACATAGTTGTTGATCAAAACAAGGACATAAAATGACTCTGATGACAGAGGAGAAGGGTAACACAAGGCCCCAACGCAATAATAATTCCACGGTCAAGACAAACTAGGAACCTTGTGAAAGATATATTATCTGGCTTTGGCTCCTCATAAAAATACTCATATTGGAAGTTCAAAAGTTTCTACTTTTTGAATATGAGAGTATTTCAATACACACAAGACTAAGTTGCCAAACCACTATTTCGAAGGTAAAGGACAGCTTAGCATGTCAATGTAATCAAAACGTTATACATACTGCAAAAATAAGCACAAAGAAGATACTGTATATTTTTTTTCAATTCTCAAACTATCCTAACTAAGAACTCACGCAGAGTATAGCACATTAAAATGGTTAGCCCTGCTTAAACAAGAAAGTATGCATTATAGCTTGATATTAACCAGTTCAACGTTTACGGGGATACTTATCTTGTGATTTCGTCACAGAAAACAATGAGTTTAGCAAATTAAGTACAGTAATATTGCCCTAATTCACTTTGTACAATTTGAAATATGGAAATAGAAGAATTTGTATTTAACTATATTCAACAGTACATGTATATATACAATCACTAAAGATTCTATCAAAGGTAAATAAATATCTTACACATTTTTTTAATGATTTAGCTAGCTATGTAAGGCAAGAGATTATATTTATAATCTACAATATTCTGTAACACTCCCCTCAAGCTGAAGCATAGATATTGCATTACATAGATAGTTAACTCTTGCTCCATTCAGCGCCTTTATGAACAAATCAGCTAGTTGCTCACCAGTCTTCACATAGCCAGTGGAAATCAAGTTTTCTTGAATGTTCTCCCGAATGAAATGACAAACAACCTCAATATGTTTGGTTCTTTCATAATACACCGGATTTGAGGCAATATGAAAAGCAGCTTGATTATCACACCAAACTTTTGATGGTGTATGATGTTTCAATGTAATTTCAGTTAAAAGATGGTGTATCCACATAATCTCACATATAGATTGTAACATAGTTTTGTACTCAAATTCAGCACTGGATCGAAATACAACATTTTGCTTCTGCTCCTCCATGATATTAGGTTTCCTCCAACGAAGACACAATAGCTTGTAGTATATGTCCTATCAATTTTGGATCCAGCCCAATCAACATCTGCAAAACACTCAACATGAGTATGTCCATGATTATTATACAATAAGCCAAGTCCAGAGCTTCTTTCAACTAACATAGAATTTGTTCCAAAGTTGCCCAATGTTTGACCATAGGTGCGGACATAAATTGGCTAACAATACTTACAGCAAATGGAATATCCGGACGAGTCACAATGAGGTGGTTTAACTTCCCAACTATCCTCTTATATCTCTCTGGATCATCCAAAAGGATCACCATCATCTTTTGTAAGATGTACATTAGGAATCATTGTGGTATTGCTGGGTTTGGCTTCTAACTTTTCAGTTTCTGCAAGTAGGTCAAGAATATACTTTCTTTGAGATAGAAGAACTTCATTCTTGCTTAGATTTACTTCTACTCCTAGAAAGTATTTTAACTGACCCAAGTCCTTCGTATGAAATCTAGTATGCAGGAAAGACTTGAGGGATGAGATCTGTGTATAATCACTTCATGTGATGACAATGTCATCAACATATACAACAAAGAGGGATAATGCCAGTTGTTGATTGTTGATAGAAGACTGAGTGATCACATTTATTCATTTTCAAACCAAATTCTTGAACCACCTCACTAAACTTTCCAAACTAGTCCCGAGGGCTCTATTTCAAGCCATACAAAAACTTCTTCAAATGACAGACTTTCCCTGAGCAACAAAACCAGATGGGTTGTCCATATACACTTCCTCTTGAAGATCATCATGAAGGAATGCATTCTTGATATCCAATTGATGTAAAGGTCAATTCTCGGAAATAGCTAGAGAAATAAACAAGCGGACAGAAGTGAGTTTGGCAACCGGAGAGAAGGTGTCTAAATAATCCACCCCATAAGTCTGAGCATACCCTTTAGCCACAAGTCTTGCTACAGAGCCATTAGGATTAACTTTAACGGTAACGACTCACTTACATCCCATTGATTTCTTCCCTTCGGATAAATCCACCAAATCCCACGTGTGGTTTTCCTCCAAGACATATATTTCCTCAAGCATGGCATGAAACCATCCAGGATGACTTCTCACTCTCTCTTTAGGTCAAACTTTCCTTTGAAAATATGTTTATAAATTATGTGTAAATGTTGGAATTTTTTCTTTTTAAAAAAAATCAAATTCAAAATAATCAGATTTCAAAATTGACTTAACGCAGGCCGGATAGCGCAACCGCGCCGCGCACGACCAATTTCCCAGTCACAAAAACGGTTGGTCACTTTGGCTTGTTTCTATCCCTTGGGGCTTCTTTCTCCTTTCTTTGAATTCATTTTTGCCTGAATCTCTTCATCTTCGTATTATTATATTATTATATTATAAAATATAATATTAAGATAAATTAATATAATAAATATTTAAAATAATTAAAATATTATATTGTGAAATAAGGAATGAAAAATCTATTTATTTTTGGCCTAATATCATCTACCAAACACCCTTGAGTGCTTTTTTTTTAAAGAATATGTCTTTGTGTGAATGTGAGTTGTATTTTTATTAAAAATTAGAAGTGCACTAATTTAAGAAACAAATTAACCATTTTTCTAGAAAACTCAAAGATTTCTAGAACCATAAAATGTTATTACGTAGTGGGAACTGGGAATGATGATCAACAAGACCTGAGGGTACCAACACAATGTTAATAAGCCAGCTGAATGGAATATGTTGAGATTTATGTGCAGTTTTAATGATTGACAAAGAAAGATGAAACACGTTAGTTAACATGATCCAAAGGTACATTACCACGAGCTATTAAATTCGGGAATGTTTTCAAAACAAATTAAAGAAAGAATGCAAAAATCAAAATATGGATAATATTAATTTCGTGATACAGCACAAGGAAATAAACATTTGATAAATTCAAGAGAAAGAATCAATGAGTTTGATTTGAAGAGGGAGTTTAAGGAGGCAAGGAGTTTTAATTGAACTCTAAGTCAAGAGAGTTCAAGTCAATGAGGAATTTGAAGTGAACAATAACTCTATGAAGAATTGTGCTTAAATAGAGGTGAATTCATCCAGAATATTTGTGCACTTATAGAGCTAAAAGGGCAATTGAAAAATATTTTCGCAAGTGCTACCAGCAGGCTGAAGGAACTCATTGAAAAAACAGGTCCTATTATAGAGTTTATGTAATATGAGGTTTTTATTAAGTCGTAGTATTGATATATCTTTAGTTCAATGTGTTATAAACTGAAATAGGAGTGGTTTCTTCAAGTTGGGATAACTTGAAGACTTGGAAACACATATACCTTGGGAAGTTTGTGTTGAAGTTTGAGAATTATAGTTCGTAATTCCTTAGATTACATAGACTTGTAATCTGTTTTGTGTTGAGGCTTAGTGATTTGGTGAAGTTGGAGTTAAATCATGTAGGGTACAGGTCGTGATTTTTTACACCTTTTTGAGTCGGGTGTTTTCCACGTAAAATATTACTATGTTTTTACTTACTGTTCTTACTGTTTTGTTGGAACACGTTAGACAACCTGTTTCACACTTAGACAAAAAGTTGAAGTTAGTAAATTACTAAGTCGTGAAGACTATCAGCATATACAGACTAATTAAATAAAAGGGTAATTTTGATAAGTCGATAATATCCTCTAAATGATATTTTTTTCCAGCAAATAAATACAGCATAGTAAACCTAATATCTCAAATCACAACAAAGATATCTATGTATGATTAAGATATATTTTGAAAAAGATTCTTGAAAATAATAATTTATTGAGGATGATGACATATTAGTCGGTGTGCTATCATCTTCCTCTATTTAGGTACAAGGTTTGAATTCTTCAGGTCATTTTCTAAAAAATAAGGGTATGATATTCTTCATGGAATATTTATTTTTATAATCCTTGATTTGTTAGTTGTTCTATTTTATTGATTACACTTAAGAAAGAAAATAATAAATACAAACAAATACTCTCATGTTTTTTTTTCGGAATCTCAGAATATCCCATTACCGCTACAATTTTTGTCGCATCTTCAGGCCTTCGAATAAACAGTTTGTAATGAGCACTTTGTGTGCACAAAGTAAATCCTAGACTCTGTAATAGCCTACAAAACAAACACTAGCAAGTAACAACTCCCTTTTGTCAAATATGACATGCCCTTACCAATTTGTTAGTTTGCACGACCTAGTAATTTACTAACTTAACTTTTCGCTTAAGTGTGAAACAGGTTGTCTAACCTGTTTCAATAAAGTAGTAAGAACAGTAAGTAAAAACACAATATTTTACGTGGAAAACACCCGGCTTAAAAGGTGTAAAAAACGACTTGTACCCCTATAGGATTTACCTCTGCTTCATTAAATCACTCTACTTCATTAAATCACTAAGCCTTCACAGAAAATAGATTACAAACTTTGCAACCTGCGAAACTAACTCTAATTCCTTAACTTTCAGTTATGAATTTTGGATTACAACTCTTGCAATCCTAGGAATTAACTCTACCTTCTAACCTTCAAGTTATGAATTCATATTACAACTCTCGTAATCTTAGGAACTAACTCAAAATCCTAAACTTCAACACAAACCTCTCGATGTATGTTTTCCCCACTCTTCGAGCTATCACAACCTGAAGACAACACTCCTAATTCAATTTATAACTCATTGAACCAAGATTACATCAAAACTCAATCACAAAGAAAAACTCCAAACACATAAACTCTGCAAAAGGACTAGGTTCTTTGATGTGTTCCTTCAATGTGTTCCTTCAGTTCGCTGGTAGCACTTGCGAAGTCAAATTTTCAATTGCTGTTTTTGCTCTGTAAGTGTACACCTATTCTGGATGACTTCACCTCTATTTATAGGTTGTTGCTTGTCGTGTTGTACTTCACTTGGGCTTCTAGAGTCCTAATTCTTCTAGAACGTGACTTCTTTTATTTTTTGAATTCTATTTTGACTTGGACTCCTCTTTTGAGTTGGACTCCTCCTCGCTCGTTTGGATTCCTTTCTTTTGTAGGATTCTGGCACTTTTATTCCGACTTCTTTGTGATTTTAGACTCCTTCTTCAAATCAAACTTCTTGATTATTTTGTGTTGTTATTGAACTTCAACTCTTCAATTCAACATTTCAAAGAGTTCTACTTATAGGGAGACTTATTCTTCATTTTTTCTCTTCAATTCACCCGATGTTTGATTCCTTGAGATTTATCACGAAATTAACATTATCCATTTCTTTATTTCTGCACTCTTGTCTTTCTTTATTTTGAAAGCTTTCCTGAATTCAACTGCTCATGACAGTGTACCTTTGGACCATGTTGACTGATGTGTTTCATCTTTCTTTGTTAATCATCAAAACTGCATAAATTCTAACACAATTACCCAACCAAATACAATTATAATATACCCCACAATAAAGAAAAAGAGCTATTGAAAGAGAATCTTGGCTCATAATTATAATGAGTTTAATATTTTAGCTTTTTCCTAGTCCTTTCGATTCCATTTTATTATACTTCCATATTTTCATTGTTTAATTAATTTGCAATTGAAAGAAATTCAACGAGAAATCTGCTTGTGGTTGTTACCATTAACCCACCGATGGTCTAAACTCTAGAGAGTGTCTGAGTGTGGCCATAAATATTTTTTCCTTTTTCCCAAGTTGAACTTCGAAAAATATATTTGGCCGTAAAATTTTGCAAAAGTTAAATTTCAAAAAATTTCACAATTTTAAAAAATACAAAAAAAAGTTATTTACACCTTTTTCACTTTAACTCACAAAAATTCAAACTCACTCCTATTTTCAAATATTTTTTTACTTCAAAAAAAAAAACTGTTTTTTTAAATACTCACATTTTTTATGGTCTGCCCCCTTAATCTGGATATGTTGTTTAGGTCTTTCCTCATGGCTTAGTTCTATTTAGTTGTGGTCTACTTTTCATAATGAAATTTGGAATTCAATACAAGAAATGAGATTTTAAGGCCGCCAAAGTGACGAGAGGAAATTGCTCAGATGGTAAGAATCCCTCATTTTAATCTGAAGATTATAAATTCGAGTCACAAAAATAGGAACTATTAAGGAGGGGTAAAAAATAGACGGCTAACAAGTCCTACAGAAAAACACAAAAGTCGCAAGGCTTTTCATTGCTAAAAATAATCTCGTCGCAAAAACTTATTCATGACATCCCCTAATTATGTCTTCAGAAAAAAGTTAAAGAATGTTCGTAAATGTAGCTAGAGATGTAATTACAACAAGAAAGCTCACAATTGTACATAATAAGTACTTCCTATCCGTTTCAATTCATTTGTTTGATTGATTTTGATTTGACATAGAAAAAAATTAAAAAAGTTGAATCTTGTGATTAAACTCTAAAAGTATGTTGAATATATCAAAATTCTCAATCAATTCCAACCATGCAATATATATGAAAATTAAAATTAAATAGCTGTTAAAAAAGTAGAGAAATATTCTTATTAAAATGAAATTAAAAGGCATAATAAGATAAACAAATTAAAATGCAGTAAGTATATAGGAATAATAAAAGCAAATGTGTGTGAGTAGAGGTTGATTGCGTTAAATTTTTTTTCTAATATTTAAGTTCGTTTTCATTCAGAGTAGATATATAAGTTGTTAATAAGTTAGGAATTGGCTTAATTATAAATTTCGATTTAATCTGCACGTTCTAACCATAGCTATTTAATTTCTCGTATAATTTGGACTACAATGATTAATTTGACCTTCAACCACCTGCACAGAACATGACAAGTGACAACTGACAACAACATATTGGCAAACTCTTGCAATTGATCCTATATATATATATATATATATATATAGGATCAATTGCAAGAGTTTGCCAATATGTTGTTGTCAGTTGTCACTTGTCATGTTCTGTGCAGGTGGTTGAAGGTCAAATTAATCATTGTAGTCCAAATTATACGAGAAATTAAATAGCTATGGTTAGAACGTGCAGATTAAATCGAAATTTATAATTAAGCCAATTCCTAACTTATTAACAACTTATATATCTACTCTGAATGAAAACGAACTTAAATATTAGAAAAAAAATTTAACGCAATCAACCTCTACTCACACACTCCATATAAATACTCATATCACAAATAATTAAGACAAGGAGAATTTAAGAGATGGAAAAAACAAGGCTAGTTGTATTGCTTTGCTTCTTCATAGTTGTTATAGTTCAAGGTGTTGAATTAGGTCCCAACGTTGTTGAAAAATGGTTCGATAAGCTTCCTCATGCAAAGCAAAAGGTAACTAAATTTCATTTCTATTTTCACGACATAGTTAGTGGGAAGAATCCAAGTGCAATTACAATAGCACAATCCAATATGACTACAAAATCCCCAACTTTCTTTGGTTCTGTTGCAATGATAGACGACCCACTGACAGTTGGGCCAGAGCCCAACTCGACAATAGTGGGTCGAGCTCAAGGGATTTATGGTTCAGCTGATCAAAATGAGGCTGCCCTTCTCATGACCTACAACATTGTGTTCACAACTGGTAAGTATAATGGTAGCACACTGAGCGTACTTGGTCGGAACCCAGTATTTAACCAGTACCGTGAGATGCCAATCGTTGGTGGTTCTGGAGTTTTTCGGTTGGCTCAGGGAATCGCTACTGCGAAGACTTATTGGTTCAATTTGACCAGTGGGGATGCTGTTGTTGAGTATAATGTTATGGTCCTACATTACTCACATTAATTTAATTTGAATCTTTGTTTGTTGGTAATTATTTGTAATCTATAGTTTCTCTATTTTGTGTGAAGGATATAAATATGTGTTTTGATCAATGAAATAAGACCTTTGGTGATGTTTTGAATATTTCAAACTGATGACTTGTATGAATTTACCACGAGTCAAGGGATCAAGTCCTTGACTGAATACAACTAAAGTAAATGATAACAGTAACTATAAGTAAAAAACACATGATATTTTTAAGTGAAAATTAATATGCTCAAAGGTTCCTTTCGATTTGTCAATAACATCGATGGTATCAAGTTCCTCAATCGGTTTGTCAATCATCAAAATTAAGACTACATCAATTTTTTTTCCTTTTATGATGATGACAAACTTCATCCCTCCTAACACCAAAAATTTCCCTCTTGTCACGAATTCATCGAACTAGGGCAACACTATCCTGAGTAATAAGAGATATCCAAGAAATAAAAATATCAAGGCAAGTCTATGACTTCATTTTAGTTCGGAATACTTCACTTTGACTTGTATTTCATCTTTTGAGTCAAATTTTAATGCTTTTAGCATGAAATTAATCTAATCGTACATTAGCTCATAACCAGAGGCAGAGCTAGATGGGGGTTTATGGGTTCGGACAAACTCACTAGCTTTTCCGTAGATACTATATTTGTATTAGAAAATTAAATAAATATATATGTATATTAACTTGTGCACCCCCTAATAAAATTGATTGACAGCTTAGTGGTAAAAAAGGAGTGGTGAAAATGCTTTTCACACTTGTGTTGTGGAACATACTTTGCAATATTTTTCTTTTTCATTTTAATCAACAAAAAATTCTCTTTTCCTTTTTAAAAGAAGCATACTTTACAATATTTTTCTCTTTTGTTCTAAAATTTAAAATCCCCAACTTCCTAACTTTGATTTCGTCTCTCAGAACAACAATTATCCTAAAGAAATGATTACCTGGTGTTAGTTGTCATGTTGTGTGCAAGTGGATCAAGGTCATCGTAACCTATATTATAAATAGCCGCCTGAAACTGCAGATTAATGTAAAGTATTTTAGAGACAACAAATACCTAATGTATAGGCATCTTTCCAAAGGATGCATGTTTAATATTTAAACATAAATATCAACTAAAATATTAATTTGACAAAATTATATTTATTATTTAATCTTAATTTTTCTTCTCTCCAAATTTATTAAAGTGGGGGTAAAAGTGAAAAAAATAAAAATACAATAATAAAGCTCGATAATGAAAAAGTGAGGTGGCATATCTATTAGGCAACTTCACTATTTATCTTTTTTCTTAGGATTTTTTAATTTATCTTATAAGAAATATATTTTTAATGACTATAAATTTTTTCATTATTGTCATTTATTTTATTTCCTTAGATGCTTCTCTTCAATCTATTAATTATATATTTTCTCATTTTTTTGATCTTATATCAGACAGTTAGATTTTTTACAACAGGAACCAAAGAATTATAGTAACAAGTGGAAAATATTTTATTAATTTGAAAGAATCCTTTTCATTATAAACAAATATTGGATAAGATTTTTTTTTATAATCGTGATGTTCGAACAACTTGCACACCTTAACTAATCTCATGAGTATTTACTATTTCTCACTAGCAACATAGGTAACTTTGAAGGTTATTAATATAAGGTAAATGCGAAATTTTGAGTGTTTCAAATGTCAGCTTTTTTTCTTTCTTAAACTTTGTTGCTAGTCAAACTTTGAGCTCTGAGTGTTATATTGTTGCCTTCAACAATATTTTTTTATCTCTCTTGAGCCTTATCAAGCTGTAATTTCGTTAGGTGGAGAATCAAATCCTCACTAATAAGGTAAAAATTTAGATAGTCAAACAACTGAACTACTAAGATAACCAAGTAATATTGCTAGTTTTTGAGTTGGAATACTTTATTACTAGTATTACTAGTTGTTGAGTTATAATACTTTGTTGCTAGTATTTAATCATCCGTCTTGTGTTCAAGTGCGCGTTTAGTCAAGTATCTGAAGATGGAAAAAATCTTATTGAGAATTTCACCTCAAAAATAAATTCCACAATGTGTGAATTTAAATTTATTCAGAATCTAATGGGAGTATCGAACCTCGTACGCAAACCAAATAAAAGAAAAGCATATGGAGCTGAGAATTAAGTTAATCTAATATACCTTTTCTTTCTGGCTTAAAAAAAGAAGTCCCTGTATGTAATTGCTAAAAACATATCAATAATGTTCTTCCAAGTTTTCGACTTTTTTTTTTCTCCTCTCACATAATATACATCCAATCAAGTTTAATTTTCAAATCAAGAATTTCCTTCTTAATTAATGAGATAATTTCAGAAATTTCTTTTTCAGATTTAGTTTCGTAACACAATAGCGTTGGTAGGTCCTAGGAAAAAAATAGTGTAAAATTCTACAAAGTGGAGTTTGAAGAAGGTAGAACGTACACAAGTCTTACCACTACATCTTTAAAGTAGAGAGATTATTTTTAAAAGACACTCGGTTCAAGCAAATCAAAATATATTTTAAAGAAGTTCTTTATTTCTTTTTATGGTCATACTTAAGGAATTTATTAAAGTTTCTTTTTAAGTATTAAGTTTTAGGTTAAATTTTTTTCAAGTTTTTTATACTACAACTTTGCCTACTATTCTATAAAACTTGAATAATTTTACTTAATCTTTATGTCAGATAATTAGATTTTTAATGACAGGAATCAAAGTATTATATTGTAACAAGTGAAATTAAATATTTATCTCTGATGAAAATACTATAACTATAAACTATACTATAATCATGGAAATAATACCGAAAATACTTATTTTTTCCATACTAAGTAAAATAAATCCACTTTATCCATCTATTACCCAACACCATTATTTTAGGTGGTTAACCATGAAAACCTAATTAGGTTGATCAAAAGCTTTTATTTTTTATTTTTGGTTAATAGAGATATTTATATTAATTTATATAATAGCATCACTACAAACCAGGTGGCTACATACAGAATTAGTTGTAGGACTAAATACATCAGGGTAGTTCATACATTTACTATTGGTTCTATTTATACTGCTACTTCTGCTAATACTAGATACACCAGGGCTATTGTCAACCATCAAAAGTTTTTTCTATATCTAATTTGCATACGAATTTTTATTTCAGAGAATTTAAAAAATAAAATAAAATAAATGTAAAAAATAATTTAAGTGAAATTGAGATTAAATAAAATATAGGAGACTTGTAAGAATAAAATCATAATTAGTACTACTTTAACATTTCATATTGCTTATTTAGAAAATCTCAAATCTTAACAAGTATCTTTTCTAGTCTTTATAATGCAAAAAGTTCTTGAACTCTCTCGAATACTATAACTCTGAAGACTAAATTGAAAATAATAATTAAAAAAATAACTATGAAGTTTTATTTTTAATGCTTTTTAACTACAAATAAGGTTTCATGTTAATTTTATATATTTTTTCATATGAATTGGGCTATAAAAAATGTGGACGGTTAAAACAAAATTTGCTTGATAGAAATATATCTTTTTTTCTGTATAATAATGTAGAGATTAATCTCCAGCTTATTTTACATATGACCAATTTTGTAATAATACATTTTTTTCTGTTTATAATAAATTTAAAGTTTATGCTTAGGTGATAAAAATATTCCCTGGCTTGGTAGAAACAAACAAAAAAGGATTAAATGGAATTTTGAGAAAAATCTCTTTGAATAATAATAAATATTTACTAAACTTTCTCAAGAATATAAAATACTTCTATAAAAAATGAAAGAGATTATAAAAGACCATTATTACCATAATAAAATTGACAAGTTATCATAAATGTGCATACTATTTTTTCTTATTAAAATATAATTTTATATAATATGGTTACTTTTTTAACAACTTGTTCATATATTCATTTTGAAGAAACAAAAAATATTAATAAAAACAAAATAACTTTTCATAGGTTAATTCGTTTATTTATTCATAGAAGTTTGAAATTTATAACTTGTAAGACGTATGGTGTTTGAAGTATGAAAATTGCACCATGAAAATTGAAAGTCATTTCACTTATTCATTTTAATTTTGCACGTAGAAATATGAAATCTTTTTATCATAATTAAATCCATATGACTATCATTTCTTAAATTTAGTGAAGTTTATATTATTAACAAAAGTATTTCTGAATTTGTGAGGTAATAGACACCTATTAAGAAAAAATTTAAGGACATAATTTAAATCATATTTTTCAATATTGTTCATTTGTAATATCATACTCCATCTGTCCATTAATAGTTGTCCATCATTGACTTGATACGGGGATTAAAAAAAGTAAATGTTAAGGTAATTTTTTCAATCACCCTTATTAAATATAAGTCATCCAAATATTGAAAAAATGAATAGTATTTAATAGTAGGGGTAAAATAGACACAAAACAATAAAAAAATTCATTGATTTTATAAACTAGACAAGTATTGATGGACATCCTAAAATAGTATAGTGGACAAGTAAAGATGGTCAAATCAAGGAATAAATATAATTTTATAAGGGAAAATTCCTTTTGGCCAGTAAATTTGGCCAGAATAGTAAAATAACATATTTCATATACTATGTGTTCGCAACAAATTTTCGTAAGTGCTGAAAATCGACTGCAAGCAAAATAAATAAAAGACAAAATGTAATTTTTATTGATGAATCTTGTGAGTACAATTCTGTTGTTCTCTTGACTCTTCTCTCCTAAACTTCTCTGTGATTCGAGGGCCTTCAGTAGCATATTTCTCGAATGTAGGATGATGTAGACCTCCTTGAGATGTATTTGATCTCTGGGAACGTCGGGAAGCACTTCGTCGTTGCAAGTCGATCTCCGGGAAGAACTCCGTTAACCACTCCTTCGAAGAGCTATGTAGTTGGTGTTGTAGCTTTCTCCAATTGCAGAATGCTTGTTGAAGAGTCTTCTTGATCCCTTTAGAATGTCATGTCCATCCTCTATTTATAGTTGTAGCGGGTGGACAAGGTTGCTTTTGATTGGCCAAAGGATGTCATTTTGACACTTGGCATGTTGTGATTGGTTCTTGCACTTGATTGG